CATTCCTCAAAACAAAATCATGACATATGCAGATAGTTGTATCAAATCAATCAAAATATCTTTCAAATAAAATGCAAAACAAATACTTACTTTCAATATTAAATTAATTCAAAACATTCAACTAATTTAAAACAAACTTTATCAATCCTCCAAAACATGATTTCAAATATTTCACAAATAAACAAAATATTAATTTCAAACCTTTAAATAAATCTAAACAAAACTTTATCAAATCATATAAGAATATTTCAAATACTTTGCAAATAAACATAATATCAATTGTCAAATTAGTTTTCAAATCCATAATAAAACTTCAATTTYATATGCAAGATATCAATTTCAAATCATTATATCAAAGCCAAAATAAATTTTAGTTTTTGAAGGGATATGGTAAATCACTTACAACACTTTTCGAAGGGATGCGTAAATTACTTACAACACTTTTTGAAGAGATACGGTAAATCACTTACCTCTCTCAGAAATCGTACGAATCTAATTAACTTCTTCCTTGTTAGTTGTCAACTTAGAGGCCTAGAAACAACCAATATCCAAAATCAATCCTTAAATCCTAGGATTTAAAATTCCACCAATTACTAACCAAATCTTATCTACCCAATTTTCCTATTCAAAACACTTTTTTATGCAAAATAATTAGGAAAGTATGGATTTGGGGCTACAAAATCAGATCTAAAAACTGAGTTAAAAAACCTCTAAAATCAACAATAACAACCTTTAATATCTATTAAAATCTAGAAATATACATATGATTTCAAACCAAAAAGAATGTTTAATTTAGATCAAATAATAAGTTAGTTTGAAATTGAAAAAAAAAAAGTTTGAAACTTGTTGGTATGGAAAAATGAGGAGGTTGTTGAAGATAATAGAAGGAAAAAATGAATTAGAAAGATAAATTATAAAATTTCAGAGAAAGAAATGAAAGAATAATTGAAGACTTACATTTCATATGATCTCGTGTTCTTGTTGATTTTTTTTCCCACGAAATTGGYAGGACCTCCATTTCTGTTCATTTCCCTTCAAGAATATGATAAGATMTTGGACTTTGGGTTGATTTTTCTTCTAGAAGATGATTGAATCTTCTATTGTTTTGTTGGTTTTATGACCAATTACACCTAAATGTGATCACATTACACAAATTATTAATCAAAACTACCACATCAGTTTATAAACTCAAGTTAATTAGTTAAAAAAATTCTTCTAAAAAATAATGAAAGAGATGTAAACAATACATAAATAGATTCCAAGAGTAGTTAAAACCAACATCAATTAAGAAATACGAACATTCAAACTAAATATCAATGAATTATTTGGTCAAAGAAAAAAACTTTTAAAGACATTCTCAACGAGAGAAAAAAAAACAGACACAATTTTATGTATGACTACTTTAATTTTCTTTCATTTTATAGATGGTTTGCAATTCAACTTATATGTGAATAAAYGTATCACTTTGTTGAAGAGTTGCACTTCTATTATATTAACTTCTCATTTGAATGTGTGAAACGATGTATGACACAATTTTCTAATATCCATTACTTCGATTTGCGAATAGGCACAACTCTACAGTCTTGATCGCACCAATTCTCTCAATAGACAAATTGATCCAAATAGTTGCATCTCATCGAAATCTGAAAAGGCAAAATAGATATGTGTAAGACCATACGCATTGAATCAATAGACACATCGACCAATCGCATCCCTTCGAAGTTTAAAGGGTAAAATTGGTATATATTAAAAAATTGAGGGCAAAATAGATAGATGAAAATTCTACTCCATAGTCCTAAATAGTATAGATGCTTATTTTTAATTTCTACCATTCTTTTGGTTGACAAAATTACACTTTCAATTGAAAATTATAACCTCTGTCCAAAAAACAAAAATTGAAAATTATAATCATACTCATGAATAGAATACGTGTATCAACTGTGTTAATTAATAATTAAAATAAATGAATTATCGTCATGATAGGATTGATAAAATATTTTTGGTTTCTTGTCTTTTTCATTAAAATAATGGTAGGGTCAATATAACCATCTTTCCATTTAATGTGTAATAAAGAAACAAAAATATTTATAAAAATTTGATCAAAATTTAAGAACATATAAAAAAGAAAAAAGAATTGGTCAAAAAAATAAAAACTAAAAAGTAGTTTAGACTTTCAAAATTCTGTTTCAATTTTCTTATTAAAATTTTACTAGGGAGGGAAAATACACATTATTAATATTCATGAGCTTATCGATCTTGGCTGGATCCCATTTTATTTTGGGATCGGATGCTCATTTGGACGTTTTGAGCTCCGATACCATATTAATATTAATGAGGTTTCATCTCAAAATCAATTGACAAAGAGAGAAGTAGCCTATAACTATTATAAACTATTGTCAGGTCCTTTTTCTTTTCAACGTGAGATCCTTAACACACATCTATATAACAATATAAATTGTCCAAACGAAGAAATCTTTAATATAAAGAAAGAACATTTCTTAAAATAAAAATGGTTACAAAATAAAACATAGAATAATCTTTCTTTTACCTCACATCTTCCATTAAGATGAAAAATTAATTATATGGTCAAATCCCAAACCACCATATAATAATATTATATAAGGATTCTTTTCTTTTAAAAAAGTATACTATATTAAAACTAATTTTTAAAATATTTCATGTGTCAAACTATTTTTTAAAATAATGCATTTTTATTTGGTTAAGACATTTTCTCCATAAATTTTGAGAGTTAAAATTAAGAAAAAAAATGGAAATGAGAAGATTTTAAGGTATGACTTAAGAGTTTAAAAATGAAAAATCTACMTATTCAATCAAATTAAAAATAGCTGCAATTTGAAAATTTTCTGTACATTGCATCCCAAATATGTTGATATACTTTCTAAAAAGAATTGGTTGGAGGTTATTTAACTCCTTCGACATTTTCTTCCGAACTCCTTATTAATRGAACTAGATTATCATAGTTAAGGTTTACCCATCTTCAGGTGACCTCCATCTTAACCATGGCAGATTCTTCCATCTCCAGAGAGTGTCTTWTGATTCTCTGCCGCTAATAGTCCTCCACCACATGTCATTAATGCAAGAAGAAAACATTAAAGTATATGCTCAAATTAAAAAAAAATAAATAAGAAATGGTTGTCGCATGTAGTTTTTTGAAGAGATATTATATAACTCCACATATTAATATCTTGAGAAGATAACATAGGAGTGGACCAAATAAAAACACGTTATTTTAAATTTCTTTCTAATCACTCTTCAATAATTGGAGCTTCCCCTTTACTATTCCATTAACATTCCACCCTAACATAAGGACTTTGGTAGATTCTATCCTGCATCACAGAAGAGTGGCCACAATCATAAAACTATGCTTGGATTTTTATAAAGATCAAAAACAATATACATGGTCACATGTAGTCCTTTGAAGAGACGATATGTATGTCGACACGTATTCGTCTCTTGAAAAAATGACATAGTGGTCCATCGAATAGGAAGACGTTACTTTAATTCTCTGTCTAGTCACTCTCCAATTGATGGAAGCTGTGAGAGGCTAAGACAGCCATGAAAGCATTTTTCATTATTCGAAAATTCTCAACAGTTGTTCTAAAATTCCCCTTTCTAACTTTCTCAAATCATTTATAAAATCTTTCTTTCTATCAACATTTCATAAAATTCTAAAATCATTTCTAAAATTTCTTTCTAAATACATTTCATAAGCTTTAAACATTTCTTTAAAATCATAAAACATTTCTCTATATCATAACACATTTATGAAATTCACAAACAAACACAACTTCTCTCATTTCAAGTGGAAATGCTAAAATATACATAATATATATAATTTCTAGAAACTCTATATTAATAGATATTATAAAACATTTAATAAAACAATCACTCACAAATCCTTCAAACTGAGTCGTTCGCGGCTCCAATTTTTGTCTAACATGAAATATCGATCCACTGCCAAATTAATTCATACTTTAATCCAATATAAATCCAACATATTCTTATTTACAACGTAAATCATATTATCTCCAAATTATCCCATAAGTCGAATTTAATAACTCATTATCTTTCCTCATTAAAAAACAATTTTTTCTCTCTCCTATTATATTATAAGTGGGTCCCACAATTACTCTTCCAATTTCTCTTCCTTACAAAACCCATGTGACTACCCTTTCATTTTCTTATTTAATTTAATCCAATTTCTTTTTCTCTCTTCCATTTACAACTCCTCATTTTCCTTCTCTCTTCTCTTTACTCCATCATTCCGACAAACAAAGTAATAAGTCCACCAAACTTCTTTTAGTTAAACCAAAATTATATACTTGAGTCACACAAACAACAATAAATATCTTCCAGCAATGGAATAAACGTGTCAAAAACTTTTCAAACCAAAACAGTTCAAATTTCAAAATGTGATTTTAAAATTCAAAATTTTAGATCTTTTTATAATTATTTCCATAATATCAGTCTAAGGATAATACAATAAAGGTATTAAATAATATTTACTATTTTAGTTTTGCTATTTGTTTGTTTGTTTTTTTTAGAATAAGTTTTGCTATTTACTCAACTTCTAACGTCTATATTATTTTGGTTATACTATAAGCTTCTTTAAAAAGTTGATTATCTTGACAAAAAATAAAAATGTGTTTATAATATGGTAATTAGACTCATGCAAAAACGAAAAGCTCACATTAATACCACAAGAGAGGAAGAAAAGAAAATTCACAAACACAAAAATAGAAAAAGAAAGAGAAAAAAACAAACAAAAAAACAAGGAGGCGAGTGAAGTGGGCCATTCTCTCGAAAATGAAAATAGAAGAGAATCAGAAAAATAAAGTATGGCAGACAAAGGCTCCGCCAATCAGATAGCTTTCCCAAGAACCCTTTAAAAAAATGTCTCTCACAAAGCCCCAAAACGAGAGAGCGCTGCCTCTTTTACACTATAAATAAAACCTTTCATCCATTGCCAAAACACAGAATCTATCAAACATGAAGTCTCCAATTACCTCTTTAGCCTATACTTTTGTTGTCATATCCTTTCTATGGGTAGCTTCTGCTTCCAACTATGAAGATTTTCTCCATTGTCTTTCTCTTCATTCTCCCAACAGTTCTTCAATTTCAAAGATTATTTACACTCCAACTGATCCTTCGTACTCTTTGATTATGAACTTCTCTACCCATAACTTAGGATTGAGGACTGCAAAATCCTTTAAGCCTCAAGCAATAGTGACGCCATTGCAAGTTTCCCACATTCAAKYATCCATCATTTGCGCCAAAAAACACGGCTTCCAGATACGAACGCGAAGCGGTGGCCATGATTACGAGCGCCTTTCCTCTATCTCCTATGACGACATTCCTTTCGTTGTTGTTGATATGATAAACATTCGGTCGATCGATGTCAATGTGGAAAAAAACGTTGCATGGGTGCAATCTGGAGCCACCATCGGGGAACTGTACTATAGAATTGCACAGAAAAGCAAAACCCTAGGGTTCCCAGCTGGGCTATGCCCGACAGTTGGTGTTGGTGGGCATTTCAGTGGCGGTGGTTATGGTATGATGCTACGAAAATTTGGACTCGCTGCCRATAATGTGATCGATGCTTACTTCGTTGATGTAAACGGTAAACTCCACAATCGAAAATCGATRGGAGAGGATGTGTTTTGGGCCATTAGAGGAGGAGGAGGAGCAAGCTTTGRCATTATTGTTGCATGGAAAATTAAGCTCGTCCAAGYTCCACCAGTGGTGACTGTTTTTGAAATCACAAGAAACTTGGAACAAAATGCTACCAATTTAGTCCATCGTTGGCAATACGTGGCCAACAAACAAGATGACAAACTTCTCATCAAAATAACATTAAGAGGCATGAACTCAAACAATCATCAAAATGGAAAAAGAACACGAGAAACATCTTTCGACTCCTTGTTCCTCGGACAAGCCGAAGAGCTTCTTCCCATCATGCAGAATACTTTCCCGGAGCTGGGGCTGACGAAAGAAGATTGTATAGAAATGAGTTGGATTGAATCCGTTCTCCATTTTGCCGGCTTCCGTGGAGGACAGYCGTTAGATGTCCTTCTCGATAGGAATGTGGCTTTTGAAGCCAATGGAAAAGCCAAAACCGACTATGTAAATGAGCCAATCCCCATAGTTGGGCTTCAGGGTATATGGGAATTGTTCAACGAAGAAGAAGTTGAATTTGCACAAATATTTTTTATCCCTTACGGTGGAAAAATGAATGAGATTCCTGAATCAGAGATTCCATTTCCGCATAGAGCTGGGAATCTTTACAAGATTCATTATTCGGTGGTTTGGACAGAAGAAGACGAAGATACTACACAAAAACATATAAATTGGATCCGTAAGCTTGAAAGTTACATGACTCCTTTCGTTTCGAAGAATCCAAGGGCTGCGTATATCAATTATCGAGACTTGGATATAGGAATAAACAACAAGAATGGATACACGAGCTATGAGAAAGCAAGCATATGGGGACTTAGATATTTCAAGGGTAATTTTAAGAGGTTGGTGAGCATAAATAAAATTGCTACCTTTCTTTTGCAGCAGAAAAAAAAAAGCTACCTTTCATTCTTCAAGTTCATGTATGATAAATTTAGACAACTAACATAGGTTAAAAAAAAGGATGAAATTTATCCTAATTAGGTTCTTCAACATTTTGTATTTGATTGGTTATTTTGGTTCTTTTCCATCTTATTAACTCGGTGCAACAATTCAATTTTGAAATATTAGTTTCAAATTTTGTATTGGAGAAAGGCAAATTGTTTTTGTGAAATTTATCTCTCACTAATCTTATTAAGATGATATTTTTCTATTACTGCAAGAACCAGTAGGTAATATTTTAAATCAATCAACACTTGTGAAATGTGCCATGTGAGAACAAATTTTCAAACCAAAAAATTATAAATTTTGTTTCAATTAAATAAATTAATCTCCATTTTTTACATGGATCAAGTAGTATTTTGACCTTAATTTAAAATTTTTTATTAGGAGAGGCAAATTTTATATTTGCCTTGTGAAATGTTTTCTCTAATCTCAACCTTAGCAGATACTAGTTTAAATGCGAGAAATAATAGGACTGCAACTACATGGGGTATTTGTATGACAAAGAACAAGGATTGGAATGTAATTTTAGAATTTAAAGAAGAGTGAAAGTTCAAAATGAAAATGTTCACAGAAAGCCAACTAATTTTAGGGGGATTTTCTATCCAAGTTCCACAACTAATTTTAGAGATGCATGCAAAATGTGATAGTACATCTCCATTCTTTTCCTTTCCACCATAAACGACTCCAAGAATAGTTGCAATGTGATTGTATAGGTTCCCCGAGCAAAGTTGAAAAAAATTTGAAAGAGATCTACTACTTGGTGGGTAATGAATTGATAATCATAAATCTCTACTCATTGCAACCATACAATCCCGAAAGAATTAAAGTCGTTCTTAGTGACTCCCCTTTTTTGCAAAAAAAAAGAAAGAAAAAAACATGCGGGAAATCATTTGTTACATTTTTTTTCTTGTCATAGATTTTAAAAATGGGCAAACTAACTATAATGGAATACTGGATTTTTTAAAAAAATTTCCTGACATTTGTAAAATGTCATAAAAATTGGAAAAATCTGCAAATCACCCTTTTTTCTAACGAAATTGCGCCTCCATCATTGTCATAAAATTATAAAAATCAAGAAATTAGCCTTTTTTACCACTAATAATGCGCTCTCATCATTTGTGACAATTTTTTTATTCCAATATTTGTTACTGTTGATAACTGTCATGAAAGACAAGATTCGTAGTAACGTAGAATCAAACGAGGAAGTATTTATTTAATGCAAAAATACTATAGAATTTGTTCGTATATTAGTGGCCTTCCAAAGACAAATCGATAATATATGAATGAACATGAAGACTACAAAGGTGACAATTTTATTAAGGTGCATAAAACTATAAACCAAAGTCTAGAAAACCTCATTATCAATTCAATGAGACTTTCTTCCAATAATATGTCAAAATATCTAATGTCCCCTTCTCTTCCACGATGGCAACAGAGAAGAAACGTTCTGCTGATTTCTAAAGAAATTAGAAGGATCAACTTTGATTTTTACACTCATCAACCTCTTAAAATTACCCTTGAAGTATTTTAACTCGTTATATGTTTGTTTTGTCAAAGCTCATGTTCCCATTTTTGTTGTTTATTCAAATATCCAGATCTCAGTGTAATAGATTTATACAACCTTCAAGTTTTTTGAAACCAAAGGAGTCATCTAACCATAAAACTTATGGATCCAACTTATATATCTTTGTTCGTATCTTCGTCTTGTTCTGTCTAACCAACCGAATAGTAGATTTGGTATAGATTTCCACTTCTAGCCGAAAGGGAATCTCTCATTCAGAATTCTCATACATTTTTCCACCGAAAGGAATAAGAATTAGATGTGCAAATTCAACTTCTTCTTCATTGAACAATTCCCATATACCTTGAATGGCGATTGACTCATTTACATAGTTAGATTGTTGTGAAAAAAATGCAGCCTACATTTAAAAGTATTAGATAAAATAATCTAAAACTTCTAAGTAACAAGAACGATAAATAGATTAGGGAGAAGAAAATTAAACGCCGGATTTATACTCGTTCACCAAATTGTGGGCTACGTTCAGTTCTCTGCTACCGTTGCAGGTTCTACTAAAATGTCAGGAAGAATCTCCCAAGAGTTTACAAGCCCCTTACAATGATTTCTCTCAATTTTCCCTCGCACAGAAAACGCTCACGAATCAATCTACAAGCCTTTCAAACTCTATACACAAGTATTTAGCTCTCAAACTCTCTCTTCTAATAGATGGTATGACAAAAACTAAAACGGAATGAGAAAATTAAAAAGCCCAAACTAAATAGGACAAGGAAAAATTTAAATAGACGTTTTCCTTATAGGAAAAAGATTTTTTCCTTGGTTTGGCTCCATAATCCCAACATAGATTTGCCTTCGAAAGGCTACACTCGTATCGAGAAGGAGATCAATTATTGTCTTCCAAGGAAGCCGGCAAAAAGGAGAACGGATTCAATCAAACTCATTTCTATACAATCTTTTTTCAGTCAGCCCTAGCTCAGGGAAAACATTTTTCGTTGATGGAAGGAAGTTCTTCGACTTGTCTGAGGAACAAGAAGTTGAAAGATGCTTACCGTGTTCTTTTTCCATTTTGATGATTTCATGCCACTTAACATTATTATGATGAAACGTTTGACATCTTGTTTATTGGCTATGTATTGTCACCGATGGACTAGATTGGTGACATTTTGTTCCAAATTTCTTGCGATTTTGAAAATAGTCACCACCGATGAAATTGGGGAGCTTAATTTTCCATGCAAGAATAATGTTGAAAAATAAAATGTTCATCTAATTACACCAACTAAAGTAATATTTTTTAGTCTTAAAAAAAATAATGTTCTTATTTGAGGGAAATAAACGTTAAAATATGAACAATAGAAAAATTAAAGGTCTAAATATATCAAATGGTTCCAATAATCTTTTTGGTAACATTCAATTTGGTCGTTAATCTTTTAAAATTCTCAACTTCACTCTTAATGTATTAAAATTTCTCAATTAGATCATTCTATATGATATCAATATTTAAAATTTGTTAGTGACACATTCATTGACAAACACAACCTTATGATTGTCACGACCTGTTTATCCACCTCCGCCCATTCCTTGTATGTCATCACAGTATATTGTTCCTTTAGGGTTTTGTGCATCTTCTTATACGTGCGAAGATCCTTGTAGAAACATAGATAGGGTCGACGATGGAACGAACAGGAAAATCTTCTTTTGGGCTTGCCTTAGGCGTCTTTGGACTCACGGAACCTGCTCCTCAAGCCTTCGAGTGCTGATCTTCGCTTGGGCGTTTTTAGGGGGATCTGATCGAAAGACCGGCCGGTGCCCTTCCAAAACCCAAAATTTTCCCTATCAAATCTCGAAACCCCCTCGAAGTTGACTTTTCCACTGGATCCTATGTTGTTGAACAGTTACAACTCTGATACCACTTGTTGGAAAAATTACTTACCAAGAACTTTTCCCCTTCCACAGTGAAAACTAAGCAAACCATAATAGTAAAAGAAAAATAGGGAAAGTGCAGAAAAATACAAGAAAGTTTATGCGGGTTCATCCAACTATGAGCTAGTTCAGTATTCCGCAACAACGAGTTCTACGATGATATATTGGGATGAAGACAATGAGTCTCCTAAAACACGCTACAAAGCTCTCTGTAGATGCTACAAGAATGGTCACTTAGCTTCTAAGCACTACACCAATAGATACTTAGGAATACCGAATGAAAAAAACTTCATTAACCTAACGAGCTGCCGACAATGCTCTACGAACCAACGTTGTCTTTGAGGCAGCTAAAGACTAAAAAAATAGGTTTGGTTATAAAGAAAAACCTAAAGTTGTAGGTTTTGGGCTTTTGTGTTTTATGGCCCAAACACTTTAATATTTATTTTGTCCCCGTTATATCCCAACAAGAATGTCCTCTTCATCAATGTGAACATATTTATTTTCTACGATTCAGATTTCAAATCAATTTTATTAGAATGAGTAAAAGAGGAATAATGGTGTTCTAGAGACTCCCAAACTTGTTTGAAGCTAGTGCAACCAATCACAAGAGATAGAGCGAATTGAGATAGAGTTCCTCAATGGATGGTTCCGAGAGTGCCACAATATGATATTGTCAACTTTGGGCATAGCCCTCACGACTTTGCTTTTGGGTTTCACCCAAAAGGCCTCATACCGATGGAGATAATTGTTATGATCATTCCCTTCTCTAACATATGTGGGACTTTGTTTGTATTCACTTTACAAACCTAACGCATAACCAAAGAGATGATGTAGCTTTAAAGTGGAATTAAGTTAGTATTGTCAAATGGGGTAGTTGCTAGAGTCAAGCCAAACAGAAGAATAGTGAGTGGGATAATTAGCGATCGAGGGTGTGAAAATCGATCACAAGATGGGTAAAGGGAGTGAAATTAGGATTACTTTATTGGGCTTATTACTTGGGGGCCAAGTGAATTAGGGGATAAAATTGGACAGGATTGAGCCACCGGCTTGCAACAATAGGCTGGGATGGAAGTTTTTAAGGGGCAACTAGAGGCTTAAAAAATGACATCATAAAAAAGCTAACCGACAGAGTTTAACCCTAAAATTAAATATGGACAAATATACCCTCCCATCAAAATAGCTATAAAATTATCAATAACTTTTGATGCACCTAATTCTTAGGAAATCAAATAGTAATTTTAAAGTTAAAATTTCAAAAATAAAATTTAGATTTAGAAATTTCAAAGTTTGAAATCAAAAATAAAATCCCATAAGTGAAAACTTTGAAATCAAACAACATTAATATGCCTAACAAATGCAAAATAGTAAAATCAAATGTAGAATAGTAAAAAATGAGTAAAACAAAAAAAATTGAAAAATCAAATGTTGTTTTTAAAATTATGGAGGGAGTAGCTATATTGGGAG